ATTGAAAGGATGAAAGCAACGACAGAAATGTTTTCAGTAAGAATTCTGATTTATTTTTACGGGCATTCTTGCTCCTGGTGTTGAATGATTGCCTAATTTATAATCATGAAAATCCCTTTTCTGAATAAATTGAGTGAGAGACTTGTCAATAAATCGCACAGTGTTCCACCATGTACGCAAAATTCGGCCTTTTATTTTGTCTGGAAAATTCTAAAAATAAGCCTAGCATTTATTTGATCGTTGTAATGAAAATTTCCTAGGTAGATTACTATATATGTATAACGATTCTTATGAAATACTAGTGTATTTTTTAAAAAAAATGTATTTGAGGTCTTTTTTAAACGTTCCATTTTTTATTTCATTGTAAAAGCTTTCTTTTAAAATTTAATAATTTTTCAATTTAAAAATATCAATGCTCACCAGTTGATATCCAATACTTAGAATCTACCAATCATTGAAATTATTAAACCTGATTTCTTTTTATAAATTACAGTTATTCGTTAAACAAATTAAAATACTATAGCCAAGTCAAAGCTAGTGTCTAATTTTCTAATTTAGGAAAAATATCTTATACATAAAATATTCACTCAAACAATCTTATATGATTAAAAATAGTTATCAAATCACAGAAAATTTTTTAATAAAATTATTTTAGGAGAAAATGCCTTAAAGTCTTTGGAATAATATTTGCTAAATAAAATTGCGGTATCTTTTTGGATAAGGTAATTTTACTAATGCATTTCATCTAATTTTTCCTTGAAAATTTTAAATACCATAAAATATGGCATATAACTTGCACTAAACTTTCAAGCTGCATATTTTAAAATTTTAAGTATATTCGTCGTGTTACGCGTGTTTTTCTTTTACGAAGGAGCCTGAAAAGTACGTGCTCAATGCTGTTATGTTTTGAAGTAATTTATTCGAGGTATTATAGCAGGATTTTGAAAAAATAGTGTATTTCTAAAGCTACAATTTCTTAAGTTCATTATTATGTAAATTTTTTAAAAAATAAACAATGCTCTAATCCATGTAGAAATCTAATTTTTTGTTTATTTTCATCTCTTTTTTTACTTTTGAAGCTATCGTTCTTACACCGGCGTATAACGTGAACCTGTAAATTTAGATCATATTTTGTGTTAAAAGTGCGCGTTATAGGACGGAATTTATGGTAGGTTTAAATTTTCTTTATCTAAAATAGATAGAAATTATTGTTTTCTGTTTTTAAGTTATTTATATGGATCGCGCGCGCCCTTGCAAATATAAATTTATACCCAATTCGTTTCAGATTTCATATTTCAGATAAAATGATGCTTATTTTTTTACTGGCGTAAATTTAGAAAATTAAAAATTTTTTGGAAGTATAATTTTTTATAAATATTTTTAAAAAAAGACAGAAATTCATAATCTTTGAATAAATTATTGTAACCAAAATATATATGGAGATTTTAAAACTGTATATTATGGAAAAATACAACTTGACAATAAAACATCAAACATAAGAAATGTCTCTGGATTGAAATAAATTGCATTAATGCACGAAAATTTAGATGGGATACAACTATATTCAAATTACTTAAAATAATATGCTAAAACAGTAAATTTTTCACAAAAAAGATAATTTTTGATTTTTTTTAAATCATTTTCTGTTAACTTTTCATTTGTTAAAATGTGTTAGAAATATCTAAGAAAAGTCTTCGATTTACTTTTATATCTCTTGATGTTCCTTATTTCATTGATATATGTCCAGTGCAACTATTCTGGCAAAAACAGTACTTGCATTTCAAAAAGGTCCTTTTCAAATATTTAAGGAAATAATTTCAAGTGAATTGAATGCACCCATCCCCGGAGCATTTTTGTTCCCGTGTGTAACTTTCAGCGCTGTTATAGTATGTAGATGAGAAAATATTTTATTACAGCAATACTCTTGTTGACTCCATGAGAGTTGCCTTTCATTTCATTACCTACTTGAGCTACATCTCGGAACTCTGTTTGCATTGCGCTCACGTATGCTACATAACGAGAACGCGCCTTTCAGCCAAAAACATTCAAATTCTACCTCTCTAAATTTACAATTTATCTCAGACTTATAGTTGGTGCTAGTGACTCTGGAGAGCACGATTCTAATTTCGTTCCTTCTGGCTCGATACTAGCAAAGCTATTAAAGTTAATGTGTCATGCATGTTTTCTCTGGTTTTCGAAAATCAGATTCTCAAACAAAACAAAGCAAGAAAAAAATAGGGATGTCCTAGTTGTGAAGGTTTCGAAATTTTTGTAATCTTCTATTCAAATTCTGAATAATAGAACTGCTTCTCGCTGAAATAAAATGGATCTAAAATTTCATGCAAATTATGGAGATTTGAAGAGTGAAATATTATCATTATTTTAACTGTCGTCATTTGACCTTGATTGGAAATTACACAGTTGTTATTTTAGTGCAAAGGGTACTAGACTTTATACCTCTCGGACGGATAAATTCTAAAGTCCCATGAGCAATATATAATCTGCATCTGATATTTGATTATACTAGCTGAAGTACCCATTCTTCGCAGATTTAAGGGACATGGTACAAGTTATAATAAAATTATTTGATTTAAATGTTTTTACAACTTGTTTTGCTTGTAACCAATGTGTATCGATTACGTAAAACAGCTTTTGTGTTTAAAATACTACAATAAACTTTTTAAAAATTTTTAAATAAATTTATTTTAAAAACTCCTCATGCTCCACATTGCTTAACGTGAGGCTTACAGACGTAAGTGGTAACATCATAATAAAATTTAAAACAACATTAAAATACATTTAAGAGACAAATATAAAATAAAGGGAAGGGAGGAAATACACAAATTTAAAAAAAAGGGAGGTACCTATAGAGCTTTAAAAATCACATACAGTAAACAAATTTTCTTAATACACTGGGCTTTCAACACAGATTGACCAACAAAGACAAAGCAGGTGACCAGAGGAAATCTAAGTTTCAACTCCTTTTAAAAATACTACAAAGAGACTAACATTTAATGTTTTATGAAAGAGTTTAAAACGTATTTCCTCCTACAATAATTAGCAGGAAATTGAATTTACAAATACATCAAACAATGCTTAAAAAATTGGTATGGCGTTTCTGCTAGCATAATTGATATTCATAAAATACTATTTTTCTCTAAATGTCTAGTGAAAATTCCTTAGGAAATGTAAAAATTCTAATTTCAGCTATTTTTAAGAAAACTAAGTATTGATTTTATTGAAAAATACATAACAACTTTTGTTACATGTACTATTAGCAATTGGTAAAAGCAAAATTCAATGCATTTGGCGCAATAGAAATAAAAACCTTAGCATTTTAAATAAAAATAATTGAGTTAATTTTTCATTATGCGATAAATACGCTTTAAGTTTTTATTTGCCATTGGATGTGAATAAAAATCAATATAAAAGTTATAACAACTCTGAATTTTTTTAACTTAGAACATCCAAATTTTGTGAGATTGTAGAAATGTACTTGTATAAAAATAATTTAGTCTAAAACATCTTATTTGAATTTTTGACCGATTTTTGTCAATTGAATCCTACCCTCTTTCCTCTTAAATTTTTAAAAACGAAACGCAGCAATCCAATTAGCAAGCATACCATTTTTAATGAGTGTCGAACCCGGTACAAAAAGGCAACATACCCTCACCTTTAAAGTAATTTTTTTAAAAAAATTATGACGTTTCTTTTAAATTACTTTCAGAGAACTGTAATCTTAATCTGATTATAAGATATTTTTAACATCAAAGAAGAATATTTAATTTATTAAACCAAGCGTACATATTAGAGGTTTCAATTTTACTTTTTTCTTACCCTGTGAAGCCCAATTTTAAATATAATAAATTACCCGCATTATGCAAAAATTTCATTTGTTAAAATACCTTTACCCACGAATAAGTTTATAACAGAAAGCCCATATCTTATTAAAAACTAACTAATATTGTCTAAGATAAGTTATGTATGGCCAGTTTTAGAATATTTAAATACTTTTTAGAATATTTAAATACATCCTTTAATTTGACAAAGGACTTATCTCTGTACTAAATGATTGTAATTAAATACGTGAGAATTAAAAGGATATAGGTGACACATTTCAAGAATGGGGTAGTACATGAAATAAACACACTAGAAAAAACAGCGAATACTCATTTGACTCTCTAATTAGAAATTACTTCACTCTTTGCTTTAATGACAGCTTTAACTTTCCTAGGCCTATTATTAGTATCGTTTAGAATAACACATCATAATCAAGATTATCATATTCTATAGTAAATTGATCCTACAATGAAATCAAATTTGATGGGTATTAATGTTTTCCTCTTTCTCAACGTTCCAACATGTCTTAAATTGTCTCAATGGCGTTGAGATATGGTAAATTTGCCAGACGTTTCAGATGTCGAGTATCAATGTCTTGATGATCGAACAAATTTGATCATTTTACCTCGATGAACGGAACTATTATCTTAATAATTTGATTTATAATTTGATTTTCATCCTTTACAAATTGAAGTATGTCAGTTTTCGTGGTCTAATATATCAAATAACCTCCAACTTTCATACGATTAGATATCACAGCTAAGTATGATTCACAGAACTAGAAATCGTTCCTAAAATTTAATTCTTCTCCGTTCTGCACAAAGTTTCGTGCATTATCAAATTTGAAAAATCCATCAGCTGTCCTGATGATTCTAGGATGAGTGTTATTAGAACATAACAAATAATATAAAAGAAAATTAAATCAATTCCTAGTTAGATCCACAAGGAAAAATTTTATATATTAGTTACTTTTTATTAAATAATTACAATTAATATAAATATGTAAATACATATGTATGCATAGAATATAATCCATTTTCCTTTCTATATATGGTGATGGACTATTATTTTTTTTTTTTACAATTTTTATTCATTCATTAAATTTAGTTATTACAATAAAATACTATAGTGAAAGAGAAATTATATTCTCAGAAATTAGCCGTCCCCTGTGGGATTCCAACCCACGACTTCTGGATTAAAAGTCCAATGCGCCATCCACTACGCTACAGGGACACAGCGGGCAAATTACCTTTTTATATACGGTGTTGGACTATTGTTTTTGTTTGTTACTATTTATTCATTAATTAAATAGAAATAATGAAATAATATATCAAAAAACTGTATTAACTAAATCAGTTTAAAAATGTATTTGAACTTGAGTGGATGAATAAAAGTATTTTATTGACAATTGAAATTTGAACAAGATATATATAGAGAAGATAAGAGAAAGAGAAAGAAGGGTGAACTGTATTGAAGATTTGAAATATCGGGATTCATTAGATCATGTTATCACCTAAATTCTCATTAGTCTAAGAATGATTCTCTTTTGCCTATTTTAGGTGATTTTCGTTTAAAAGGTTGTTAATCTGGGACATATTCGTACTATATGCACGGCTGAATATTCCCAATCAACATTTTTATCGTGAGAATTCTTACTGAAATGAACTGACTAAGCACACCATTGGATATCTCAAGGATTTCTTGGTTATAGTTGTTAGTCATTGCAGTTTTTTTCTATCTTTGTCCCCTACATATGCTGCCCATTCAGTACAGTGGTTAGCAACGCTGACTGCTTTGCCGTAGAGCCTGGGTTTGAAAATTGGAGAAGACATGGATGTTTGCAAATGTATAGTTCCTTCACTGCATGGGGGTACTCTAAGTATAGCCTTCGAATCGCAAACCCTCTCGTGTGGTTGGTGGAAAGGAAAGAGAGGTGGGAGAGACCCCTGACCAACTTTTAGGCAGAACACCTAAGGTGTTCTACTTTAAAACAAGGGTAGAAACAGGCCAAGTCCTGGGTGTACTCAAGCTACGACGAACGACAGGCGTCACTTGAACAACAACTATCCTTATTTACATCCTTGATTTTTTTTTTGTGCCTACATCTGCTCCATTGAAAATGATTGCATCCATTCTTTTTACAGAGTAAATGGACACTACTGCATATGGAGAATGGATAACACGTTCTTTTTAGCTATGCCCATGCCATAAACTTACGGTACTATTTTGCCATTTTGCTATGACAAGAGAATGACCCATAGTTTAACTAAACATGTACGTGATATGTTAATAGTTTTACACTTTATAAGAAGCTTATATACATAGTTAACATACAGAAGTTTCATTGTTACTGATTATTCACTTAACCTGTGCTTTTAAGCTTAAGAAGCTTTCTTCACATTTTCTATATTTTTAAGTAGTTCTTAGATTTCTTATATAGATCGATCATTTTTCTACCAAAGAGTGACAGCTGTTCACGAGATGTGTACTCACAATTGTTGCTATAATTAAGGGTTGAGAGATGTAAAAGGAGATAAATCGAATACTTATATAGCGTTTTGAACTGAGGTGGGTGCACTGTTTCAGGGTAAGTGCTACTTCTAATGATTTTAAGGTACCTTGGCCAGTCGTGTAGTGCAAAGTGTGCTCCTTATGCAAATTCTATGTTTTAACCCTCGTTATTGTTATTGTATCCCTCTTTTAATATATGATAGATTACTACTTTTGTACAAAACAAAGTAATACAAACTTTCAAGTTCAATTCTTGAACAACCATGAGTGACTGCTAGACCGTGGAGCTTGAACGTATTCAATGCAGTGAACAGAGAACATACATGGACCAATGAATCTGAAACCAACGTATGTACGTACATTTACCCGCTTTCTGTTCCTGCGCCATCGCGGGACAGGACATGAATTTGGGTACCCAATGACGTGGAAGCGAGAGGAGTGAAAATATGTCTCAAAAGCCAATCCCGTGTTCTCGTGGGTAGAGTCGATCTCCCCTTCAGTTGGCGTGTGGGGAAGAATTCATTTTTTACGGTTGACATCGTAATGATAGCTTCTTCTCCTACATCGGCAATGATCGAGTTAAACATCATCGTTCGTTTCCAATGAAGGTACATGTGTCATCCACATATTTTTTGAATCATTTGTTTAAGTAAACACAATCGCATTGACTGTGTAAAGCTAATACTCCGGTCTACTGGGCATCGGTGTTCCATAAATATGTTTCTTTTATTTTACGAGTCTTGGATACTAGTAAAGGTGGTCACCTCAAAATGTCTTGGTGGTTCACCGGTCGATCATGATTGACTTGACGCCCATTTCTAGTTTTCAGAATCTTTCATGACTTTAAAACGACACCTCATTGTAAAACCCTATGAAACAAAGCCATAATACAACATTGTGGAATTTATAGACCAGACAGAGGATCTTGTTGGTTTCTGCTATTCCAATGTTACAAAGTGAATTGACATATATTTGAGTGTAATGTTGTGGAAGTTTCATATGAGACTGGGTATCGGTCCAGATTGTTCTTCTTGTTCTTGTTCCTCAAGGTTCATTACTTATCGGTCATTGTTTTATTTTTGTTCCTTTCCATCGTATGAAAATGCTGATTTAATGGAAGTTCCCTATTACCTGTCGAGTAATTATTTTGTTATTCTTGGTAAAGTTCAAAGTGTATGTACTGTACATAATAAAAATAATTATGACTTTTTGAATGAAATTTCGAACTTTTAACTTTAAATATCTCAGTTGTATTAACGCTATCTTTAAAACATTACATGCGAGTTTGATTGAACGTGATTTTCATTTATGACAAAGAAATCCAGGAACAAATGAATTATTTTGTTATTCAAAATATACGTCATTATTATAATACCCATAATAATTTAATAAACCCATTTTTAAAAATGATGACCAAAATACAAGCATAATTTACCATATATACACATAACTTTTCAGTATATCCCAAGTTTTTCATAGTGCATTAAATTGCGCAGGAAAATGAAATATGAAGCCATCTTTGAAGAAAGAAAAAAGTCAATATTGTTTTACTTCTAGAGTACTTTCTAAATCATTTCTTCCTTGGTTGAAAAGTTTTCTTCTTTCATCACGTTTGATTCAGTTCTATGAAATACGACAACATCTGAAGTGCTAACATCTGTTTTTGACAGAACACTTCATTTAATGTAAAATAAAAAAATAGAATGTATTTGTAGTAATAAAAGTTATTATTTACCAGACATATATTGAATTCTTTTCTTGTCTGCGCCTAATAATAAGCGTACAATTTTTCCACAAACAAATATCGATTTCACTGTGTCACAAGCAAACGCAGTTGGGATTTAAATATACATTCGTAAATTCTGCTTTTTCATCAGTATAACTTCCTATCAAACATGATTTATAAATTTAAAGCAACGCATGCTGAAGTTTGTATTTTAGTTCAAGCAAAGTCCACATTTTTTCTAAATTAACTCAATTTTAAATATTTATGTTTAATGCATGTATGTTGTAGAAAACAAAGTCAATTTTTGTATAATTTGTTTTTATAAATAATGGCAAATAAAACTGAGGACTATCTTAAGCAATATACTTACTATTTGTCAAAATTCGGTTAAACATTCATTGTCAATTAATACTGTTGTCTAATTGAGTTTAAATGATTTTTAGTGATTTTTTACAAAATGGGGACAACATTTTATTAATAAGCCTTCAAACTGTTTAGATTTTAAGATAAAGACATTTAAGTTTATAGTTTTCTTAAATAAATGTTTACTATTTAATATTGCTCAATATTCAATTTTAAAAAAAATTCATGGCTTTTTTTTTTGCTCATTGGCTCTTGGGCTTAGAGTCGAATGCTATTCAACTATTCTTAAAAACATAATATTTATCTTAATATCAGACTCCGATCTGAAAATAGAGCCAAGTGCATAAATGTTAAAAGTTTATAAAGCAATCTTAGAATTTTTGAAAACATCAGGGTCAAGAAAATTAAGCTTTGGTCGTTCAAAACCAGTAAAATAGGTAATATTTAAAGTATATTTTCTTGGGAAGAGAATCATGGAATGAAAATATAATACCAGGCAATTATTACAGTTTTTTTTCTAAAATTTCATTAAAATAACTAAAAAAAAATTAAGCAATTAATTGAGTAACTTAACTCCGATTTCATATGGAAACAATTTATTGGAATAAAATCGTCTGTGCCAAAAGAAATAATGTTAAATAAATAAATGTAGAGTAGCCAAATGAAAAGTGGACACGTGCAATTGTGTCATAATGATTGCAGCTATAGCAGCGCCTCCGAACATATAAAGGAGGTAGAAGGTGTACACCGCATGCAACGTGCAATAATGCAACCTGTTCGTATTAGAGGAAATAGCTCAAAAGTAAAGTCGTGTTATTCATGGCTGCGTCCATATTGGAACAATGTGCAGTAGTATGGTTTATGATTGCGGAAGGTGTCCTGGATGTCCTGGTGTCCATCTATCAGCGAATGGGAGAAGTCTATGGCGAGCCCTGATTAGTTCAAACAATTGGTGCAAAAGCTTTCGTGAAGGGTGAGCAAAGGGAATCAGATATCCATGACAATGCTTACCAAGCGGTGTAGGAGGCACTACCTGGTTTGTACTGTCGGCGTGGTCTGAAGTTGTAAGGGCTCTTTCTCTACAGGATTGGTCTCGTCTTGACCGGACTGGTCCTTCCTGGGCTTGTGTTGTTCTTGCTGAAGATCGGGAACCGGCTTTCCCGTTGAATTCTCCTCTACTCCTGAGATTGTATGTGCTGGACCTCCTTTGCTGGATCCGGCTTGATTGAAGTGGCCTTTCTTCCTCTGGACTTGGCCTTGAACTTCGCATTGGAACATGTCCAAAGTGTTGCTCAATTCTTCTACCTCTCTTCCTGACTTGTTCAGTCGACGCGATGGATGACGTTAACCTCCTCTTATGGTTCTCTCGTATTGACTGTCTTCTTTTCTGGCCAGACCCTCAGAGAATGACGCCGGAACCTTCTTTTGCATCTTCTCGTCTTATGGTTGTCTCTACTAGGTGTTATTTTTGTCGGTCCCTCCAGACAATGGCTTGCCTGAAACCGCTTTCTCTTCCACCTCTCATCCCCTGTGTTACGTTTCTTTTGCTTTGTTGTTGCACAAACCCTGGCCAGGAATCTTTAAATTCACTAGATCGTTTACTGCGCTTGTCCCACTTTGTTACTCTCTGATG